TAAAAATATTTTTTACAAATACTTTATAGCTGCTCATATTGTCTTTGTGTTTGTGTGGGAGTGTAAGATGGTTAAAATATATTCTGATGTAGTTGTACATGTTTAATTTCACAAAAAACAAATCCTTTGCATTTGTGTTTTGGCGCATGCCATGAGTGTATGTGTTTTCTGTGTGAGATTCGTTAGTATTGTCCTAAGACGGCACTCTTTCTCCTCAAGTGCGAAATGTGAATCTGCATTTTTACAGGGTGATTGTGGAACACTTAATATTCATGAGAGCATATTTCTGATTGGCCAGTGAATGCCTTAGACCAGGGCGGTCCAAATCCAGTCCTGAAGGGCCAGAGCCCTGCACATTTTTGGGTTTCCCCTCATTTAACACACCTGATTCAACTCCTTGTGCTAATTACAATACAACCCTTGAGCTGAATCATTTATGGTGGAACAGGGAAAGAACTAAGCTACACTGGGCTCCAGCCCCTCAGGACTGGATTTGGGCACCCCTGCCTTAGGCAGAAAAAACAGGCAGCGCATGTCGATGTTTACTGGCCAATCAGGTAGTGCCCCTCTCATAAATATTAATGAGCCAGCCAATCATGTAGGGCTTCACTCATAAATATTAATAAGATTTTCTGAACCACGGTGCTAAAAGAAATTTGTGCCCGGGACACACTGGATGTGCGGCAGAAAATATCGAATTTCATTCCGGTGCCCATGTTAACAGATTAGAACGGCCACGTGCCTGCGCAAGATGCAGGGCTCATGCCTCGCAGCAGCGGCACTGCATATAGTCACACGCGCGGTAAGCGGTTCTCTATGGAAGCATATTGCATTCATCTGAAAAACAATCAATTCTTCTTTTCCGAATTAACGTAATAATCATCCTGTTTTTCCTGTTTTTCTGAGTAATAATTTTCTGTTTTTCTGAATTAATGAGATAACCTTTCTATTTTTCATGATGCGCGATCTGTGTAGTTTAATCCGCTTTTGTTGATGGTTTGTAAACCATTGTATTATCATTAGTTTGCCGACTTTGCGCGGCACCTATTCCGCCCCGCTTGACACTGCAGTGTTTCTCCCGGATCAGAATATACAGTATGACACGCTTCACAGAAATAAGCTGATGCATGTGAAATGCATTCAGAGCGGCTTTGCTGTGACTAAAGACCATGTCAGACAATCACTGCAAATACTGGATCCTCCTGGAGCGCAGCTTAGGCGCCGGAATCGTCTTCGGAGGCGTTTGTATCAGATTCCAGGTTCAAACCTTTATTAAATATCACTTTAAATATGTAATAATTAGGGATGTGCAAAGTAGCCGGTATTTGTATCTGTATTTGTATTTGTTGAGGGGGGAAAACTATTTGTATTTGTATTTGTATTCGAGTAAAATTCAAAATAGGCATAAAAATCCAGTTTTTTGCATTAGACTTCTAATTTACGTTATAGTGTACGTATTCTTTAATTATATCCATTATAATAATTATGGATATGCAATATTGGTTGATGTTTTTCCATAAATCCAGCAATGAACATGTAACAAGGAACGTCATTGAAAAGAAAATAACATAACAGCCATTACCTCATCCATGGTTAAATCAACAACTAATAAAATACCATTGTGAACATTATGAACAGGTGCGTAATTTTCAGGGGGGGTCATGACCCCCCCAATAATCAGATCCAGCCAATATAACCCACCCAATAATCATGTTTCCCCCATAATGGGTGGAGACCTCAACCCCCCCAATGTTCCAGCCAAAGTTATGCCCTTGATTATGAACCCCACCACCACCCGTCCTTGTTGGAGGACGCTGAACAGACAGAATAAAAACAAATAATACTTCAAAGAACTGTTCTTCTTCTGAAAGAACTTCTTTCTAATGCACAGAA